CACAAGGGATTCTACTGTCCGTCAATTTGTGCTCTATTAATCAAGAGGAAGGTATTCCACAAAGGGATTCTACTGTCCGTCAATTTGTTCTCTATTAATCAAGAGGAAGGTATTCCACCAGGGATTCTACTGTCCGTCAATTTGTTCTCTATTAATCAAGAGGAAGGTATTCCACAAATTCTACTTCCTACTGTCCGTCAATTTGTTCTCTATTAATCCAGAGGAAGGTATTCTATTAATCCAGGTATTCCAAAGGATTCTACTGTCCGTCAATTTGTTCTCTATTAATCCAGAGGAAGGTATTCCAAAGGGATTCTACTGTCCGTCAATTTGTTCTCTATTAATCAGAGGAAGGTATTCCACAAGGGATTCTACTGTCCGTCAATTTTTCTCTATTAATCAAGAGGAAGGTATTCCACAAGGGATTCTACTGTCCGTCAATTTGTTCTCTATTAATCAAGAGGAAGGTATTCCACAAGGGATTCTACTGTCCGTCAATTTGTTCTCTATTAATCAAGAGGAAGGTATTCACAAAGGGATTCTACTGTCCGTCAATTTGTTCTCTATTAATCAAGATGAAGGTATTGCACAAGGGATTCTACTGTCCGTCAATTTGTTCTCTATTAATCCAGAGGAAGGTATTCCACAAGGGATTCTACTGTCCGTCAATTTGTTCTCTATTAATCAAGAGGAAGGTATTCCACAAGGGATTCTACTGTCCGTCAATTTGTTCTCTATTAATCCAGAGGAAGGTATTCCACAAGGGATTCTACTGTCCGTCAATTTGTTCTCTATTAATCCAGAGGAAGGTATTCCACAAGGGATTCTACTGTCCGTCAATTTGTTCTCTATTAATCCAGAGGAAGGTATTCCACAAGGGATTCTCGTGTCCGTCAATTTGTTCTCTATTAATCCGGAGGAAGGTATTCCACAAGGGATTCTACTGTCCGTCAATTTGTTCTCTATTAATCCAGAGGAAGGTATTCCACAAGTGATTCTACTGTCCGTCAATTTGTTCTCTATTAATCCAGAGGAAGGTATTCCACAAAGGATTCTACTGTCCGTCAATTTGTAACCTGCCACAAATCTACCAATATGTACATAATAGATAGACAATTGTTACTCAACCTTAATAAAAAAAATAAATGGGTAACAGACAACGGTTTCAGATTTTCAAAAACAAAGACTAAATGTGTATATTTTTGCTTTCTAAGGAAAATACATAATGACTCGGTCCTCAAACTTGAGGAATTTGAAATACCTGTTATAGGCCAATATAACTTCCTCGGTATCATCTACGACAAAAACTATCATTCATCCTTCACATAAAACACCTAAAAAGCAAATGTACCAGAGCCCAACAACTTTTGAGAGTAGTTGCAAATACAGAATGGAAAGTTGACCGGCTAACTCTCCTGAAATTATATAAGGGCATTAATCCGATCACAAATGGATTACGACAATCTTGTATACCGATCTACAAAGAAGTCGTACATTAAAAAAAAAAAAAAAAAACTTGACTCCATTCACCATGAAGATTTGACACATATCAATGGATAACCTGTACTTTGATGCTCATGAAACACCTTTACAACTTCAATATCTCACAAAACTAAAATCATATCCATTCAACCCTAACCCTACGAATGTACCTTCACCCCAAAATATAAGCAAAGCTTTGAGAAAAAGAAAAATGCAATAAAACCCTTTGTCTTTCGTATAAAATCCACCCTCGAAGAATGTAAAATCAAAATAGCTAATATTCACTAAACAATAATTTCTAAAACCCTGCCATGGATGATCAAAAAGTCCAGAGTTAACCTCCAACTAAGCAAGCTCCTCAAACAAAACATTAATCCCATGATTTAACAATTCCACAAAATTTGCAAACAGCAAACACTTCTATATTTTTTACTGATGGTTTAAAAGACGATAACAAAATAGCATGTGCAGCCATTTCTCACAAGAAAAGTCTAAAGAAAGCTTTTCCAAAGGGAAACTCAATTTTGACAGCAGAAGCCTGTGTAATAGACTTGACTCTTGCCGTAATTTACGACAATAACTACAAAAAGTCCATCATATTCTCAGATTTTTCGCTCTGTATTAACAACGCTAAGAAATAAAAAAAAAAAAACTAGAAGATCCACAAATAAACATATTGGGCTCTATGTCCAATACCAGAAAGATCCCATTATGCTGGATCCCGAGGAATATCGGGGTAAAGGGTAATGAAAGAGCAAATTCAGATTTAAAACCCGACAATTCGAGATCCCTTACACCGATCTGAAAGCCCAAATCAACAAATTCCTCCATACAGAATGGCAGTTGCGCTGGAATAAAAACATCCACAATAAGCCTTTTTTTTTTCTGTCGAACCCACCTTGTGAGAATGGAAACTAGACTTTAGGAAAACTACATGAGAAGAGGTTACAATATCACGGCTACGTATTGGTCATACCAAACTTACGCATTCATTTATACTTAAACAAGAACCACAACCAAAATGCACAGCCTGCCAACCCTCCCTTAAACCGTTAAACACATTCTCATAGAATGTGTGATGCTCTTAATTAAATAAGAAAACAATTCTACAAAGCAAGTAATTTAAATGATCTGTTTGAAAATTCAAACATTGACGACATTCCTGTCCTTTTTGAAAGTTACAAAACTATACTAAAAAATCCGCAATCTACTCTCCCTCGAGGAATTAACCTAGTTTCTCCTTCTTATCAAGACTTCCATTCCCCGTTCCGCCACCCAAGCTCGTCAAGTAGGACACCCGCTGCCTTCCCACTTCACTCTTGCCCTCAATACGCCCTGTGAGGGTTATGTTTTCTAAGCCTCCTTCCTCATTATGTCCAAGGAATTTCAGCTCTTTTTCTGATTCTGAATTTAAGTGTTCTTTCTGGTGCCATTTTCTTTCTGGTTGCTTACTCACTACGTCCATGGAATTCTCAGTATCCTTCTATATTTCTTTTGCCTCCAGTTTCCTTTTTATCTGTGGGGATATTGTCCAGCATTTACTAGCATTGATCACATAGTAATTCAGCAATTCTTTCTTTGTTTCTAAGGAAAATTTCTTGTTTATTAATACTTTGCTTAGCTTTTGGAAGACAACTTTCGCTAATCCAATGCGTATTCTGATTTTGCTGTCGCATTTTCCACCCTCTGTTAAAACACTTCCCAGATTTTCAAACTGATGCTGTGGTTTAACAGCTAGCAAACTTGTGTCGCTATATCAATCACGTCTTAGTTGTATGTTCGATCCTTACTGGGTCTCCATAATTGCGACCTTGTGCCACACACCGACAATACCACGTCTAAGACGATTTCCATGAGAACAAACAAATGAAGCCTCCATCATCATTTAGTAAAAGTACAAAATATGACAACAGCCACCCACACTTACTTCGTTAACATAAAACATGACAAAAAAAAAAAACAAAAACAACAGTTAATTTCATAATTAATTTCTGCCTTTCTTGTCTATAAAAGTTAACGCACATAACTGTAAAGCGTAAAATATTTCAAAGTCTAAAAAAGTAAAATTAAAAAGAAAAATACTTATTGCATTCTGTTTAAACGGATTTAAAAAACAAAAAACAAAACTCATTTTTGTCGTTGTTGTTGTTAGAACCCACCATAAAAGTAGAAATCCTGATGCTTAAATCGTTGACATGGAGGAGACTAACCAATTAAATTTAAGTGACAAGTGCAGTGTTAAAAATGCAGTTTGTTGAAAATTAAAATGTTTGTTAAAAGAAGTGGCTTGTTGAAAATTGTGGTCAGAGGGGGGCTAAGGAAGAGCACCCAAATTCCTATGCCTTTTATTATTATTATTATTATTATTATTATTATTATTATTATTATTATTATTATTATCTAACAGCAATTTCTCTATTTCTAGTCAGCGTACTTACTGTAAAACTCCACTAAAAAAAGTGACCTATTTTATTTACGAAGAATAATAAAATTAAAAATAAACCTACTTTAAAAAAAAGTTTAGAAACAAGAAAAATATTCATAAAACTTTCTTTATAACAATGAAGAACATTTGAAATGTCTGCATTGTTATAAAGAAAAAATGTGACAAAGTCACAAAATCTTAAATCTTAATTAATGACGTTTTTTATTGAGTTTTTCCTGTTTAAAATACTTCAACTCTACACACATATATTGTTTCCTCCGCTTACATTTTTGCAATGTTTTTAAAAAAAAATTTGAAAAAATATGAAATTTATTGAATGTTATTATTACAAACTTATTGTGAACAGTCTTCAGTCATTAATTTCATGTTGCAAAAAAGTTACATTTTTGTCTTGTATTTACAAAGGACATTAGAATTAAATACAAAAATACTTTTTAGAAAGAACAAACAAATTATTCATAAAAAAAACTAAATTTTTTAATCAATTCATTTTTATAAAGAACAATATCATAAAGAAAAAAATTAAATTTCTGATAAAATTCTTAATGACACTTTTTGTCAATTTCTCATTAAAAAGGAGATTCTTTAAGCAATAAATTTAAAATGCTGCAAACTCAAAAAAAATAATCGAACTTTATACTTACTTCAATATCTTTATGCTAATTCAGTGATAAAAAGTAAAGATTTCTTTTGAAAAAATTAAATCTTGATTTAAGCCCCACGACATCCATTACTATTCTTAGGCACATGACTTCCAGGTTTTTTATATGCCCTAGGGTATCGATTTGAACTGAATCCAATCAAAAAAGATATCCTAAACTACCCTTTTTTTTCTTGGTAAAGATTTGGGCCAAACTTTGAACCCAAATCGTTTTGGGCAAACGAACCTAAAAACAGTAAGTTTTATTTTGAGACAAGACCAATAATTTCCCCTTCAAATCAGTGTCATAAAAATATTGAATCGTCTTGTACAAATCAATTGAAAAAAAAATAACAAATAAAAAGTAACTTTTAAAACGGGAGAGTTTGATTAAAACAAAAAAAAGACAAAAAGTTATAAATATAAACTCACTTCACAAAAGTGTTTTCCGATCGCCAAGTATGTACGGAGATGAATGAATCTATTTCGAGGAATGAAAAGAAAAAGTAATCCAACCGGGATTTTAATAAGTACAATATGCAGTGACAGCTAGGATTTTAAAGATGCAAACTGCTTGCTGGGAATTCTTTTCACGCTGAATGCACAGTGAGAAATAAAACTTGAGATTACGCAACAAAAGTGACGAAGTTACGTCAGGGGAGAGTATCTTTTCTCCTCGGTACATAGGTGAGAAAATATCCTTTGACTTTTGCGCATTAAAAGTTTTTCTATTATTTATTGCGTGCGTTTACCTGGCGGTGAATCTGCTGACAATATTCATTGTCCAACCAAAGGTAAAAGTCAGATATTTTGCATATTTATTTTCAAGGCATATAAAATCCTCCCGACTTTCAAAAAATATTTTAATTACCTTTTATATACATTTCTGCCGTATAAAATCAAAAGTAACTCAGTGAAAAAGAAAAAAATAAGCTAAGTTTTTGTTTAATGAAAGATGACTTTGTAATTAAATTGCGGGATACTCTGTCAATTTTTTTTCTCGACTTTAATCAACAGTAGAAGTAAAACTATAAATATTCGTTTCCTAGTTTTAAGACGGCTCAAGCAACATTGTGCAAAGGGGCCATTTGCAGAAAATCTGGGAAGCGCTGAAGCAGGTCGTCTGAGACATGAAACAGGGGACAGATACTATTGTCAACGAAGTGTACTTGAGACTGTCGTCCGCGTTTGTTCCTCTGTTGCCATTGATGATCCCAGGATGTTTAGGATTGAGTCTCCAGTTGCTTCTAAAGTCTTCGCATTCTCTTGCACACTCAGTAACCCCTTGCGTCTAAGTAGCATTATAGCCTGGCTTTGGTTAAATTGATTAAAAACTCTCTCTCTCTCTCTCTCTCTCTCTCTCTCTCTCTCTCTCTCTCTCTCTCTAGTATTGCTTTAACCATTTTACTTTAGGTTATGGTTGAATTTTATTGTATGTATGTACTTTTGTGCGGGTGGGTATTCATGTGAGCGTCCGTGCAAGTGCATGCATATATACGTGCATATGCAATATATATATATATATATATATATATATATATATATATATATATATAGTCTGTGTATTCTTGCGTTTCATGAAGAGTATAGTTGTGGTAATTATTTGAGAGTGTTTGTTATCAGCGACGAAGCTTTAATAAAAGTGGAATTGATATAATTTTTCGTATTTGTTCCTTATTTTAGCATCCTGTCGGATTCCGATCTATATTTGATCTGCATTTGATTTGATATATATATATATATATATATATATATATATATATATATATATATATATATATATATAATTCTGTATTTAGGCAGCAGTCGTTCATTTATACGTGTTTCATTAAAGACGACAGACAAGGTACTACGATTAAGCTTTTATTTAAGTTTTCTTGTGTTCGAACAAGTGTTTTCTTTTTGGGACAGGGAGTGTGTAGAAACTGCCCAAATGTTTTATAATTCCGAGCGCTTTCGGCTATACTTTTAGCCATAATCAAGGATGGTTTTATTTATTCAGTTTAATTGGGTGTGTGGGTTCTGTGTATGTTTTTAGTGTTATAGAGATGTTTTATTTTCCGAACACAGCACATTGTAGCCGTGTACATAATTAATATTATTAAGTGTTGGCTTTTTTTTCATTAAGGCTTCCATTATTTTAAATCTTTTTTTTTTTTTTTTTACATGTGAATAAGTTTATTATGTATGTACTTTCTACTAGTATGTTTCGAATGGAGTCTGCTTAGTTTCTGTGACTGTTTAAATAGATCAAAACGTATATAAAATTCATATCTGCCTGCTCACGGTATGAATAATATTCTGTCATTATTAAACAGAATACTTCTCAGTTAACTACACGGGTCAAACGTTGAAGACAAAAATAGTCACAAATGTACACGAATGACAAATGTAATCTAGTCTACACGGCAGCACAGTCATATCTACCATAAACGTTCTTTAAACTTAATAACTCAAAAACGAAGGATTTGCGGATACATGTTCATATGAACGTTTGTCATTGTTTTGGAGTGACAAAGCCTCTCCCAAAGTTTATAAACTTTTATTTCATAAGTCCCATATATATATATATATATATATATATATATATATATATATATGAGGAAGGTGGCCTGACGATTGCGTCTAGCATGAAACAGCCTGTCGCCTATAAGTGTTGACTTCAATGTTCACGTTATATATATAATATATATATATATATATATATATATATATATATATATAATATATATATATATATATATATAATATATATATATATATATATATATATATATATATATATATATATATATATATATATATATATGCATACAAAGTAAATAAATCAGTGTTATTGGTGAAAATTTATTTATTTTCTATTGGATCATGTTATTTAAGTCATGGAAATTATGTGTGAAAAATAATATCGCCCAAATGTCTGCCAAGGCTTGGGCGGCACACCTCCAATCGATGGTCAAAATTTTTGATGATGTTTCTGCATAATTGCTCCTCGATCTCATCAATATGCCTTATAATCTCATCCTTCAGCTGTTGAACTGGTGTTGCATTGTTGGCATAGAACTAACTTTGGAGATGACCCCCAAACGGAGGAGAAATGTAAAGGAATCAAGTCGCACGATCGTGGTGGCCAATCGACTTCGCCGTTTCGAGAGATAATGCAACCTGGGAACTTCTCATTCAATTCTGTGTCTATTTTCGAAACTGGCTTCGATAACTTTAACACAATGTTTGATTGTTAATCTTTCCATGAATGAAAATGCCAAAGACTTAAGTTGCTAAATCTGAAAGAAAAAGAAAAAAATCATTATACGCTTAAATTAATTCACATTTAAAATCGGTCCAAGTTATTCGAACAACCTTATATATATAAGTAATATATATATATAAGTAACTACACTCGTCTCGGAAAACCTTCGGTTTCTTGATTTGCTAATGATAAAATCAATTTCGAAGGAAAAAAAGGTTTTAAAAAAAGAAAGAGCTAGGAACATGAACGTCTGTCGAAAATAATCGTACAGCATACAGGTCCAACGCCCAAAGAAAAAAACCCCGATACGAGTAATCAACTAACTAAAAAGTGCTCAATACAAAATAGAGCGGACTTAGTCAAAACTAGAGAGCCAGACAAACCTACCAAGGTTTCACCTAAGTGGATCGTCAGGGAAAGTTGGCTAAAGAAAACTGTATACTTATAGGCGATAAACAAAAGACCAAGACCACGTGAGCAAACAAAAAAAACAAAAAACAAAACAAAAACAACAACTACAACAAATGGGAGGGTGGAGAAGAAATTTATTCGAAACGGCTTAAAGGGAGGGGGTGATTTAGAGACAAACACGGGCAAAAACGATTAAACAACTATATAATCCGGGGAGACGAGGCCTAATCCAATAACCAAGAACTTCTATGTCTGTATTTGTTTAGAATCGCTGTTTTTGAATTTAATAAATCTTTACGTTCCTTATATAAAGCTATGGCTAAATTTTCCTCTATACATAGCTTATAGAATTTTTGACCTGCTTTATATTTAGAGCATCTTTTTAGTATTTCCCATTTGAGGATTGGGTCTTTGATATTTTCCTGTCTAATTTTCCATACATAGATAGATAAAGTAGACATAAACTATGTTTGGTTTTTCCATTGTTAAAACTACTCGTATGATTATAATATTTTTTTTAAATACGTCCCGAGTAGCTCCTATATACTCTTTAGGGTTTATATCATGATTGCAGTCATCTATGTCCTTGTAAATTTTAGCCTGGTAAACCATGCACTCCTGTTGACATTTTCCCTGTAGGGGACAGATTTTTTTGTTCCTAAAAATTACAACTGGAAGTAGTAATGCGTGGATTGTCCCTAGTTTTTTTCTTATTAAAACTGCAAATTAAAGTCGCTACGTTTGGCATACTGCAGTAACTAAGTTTGACGTTATTTTTATTAAATATTTTGCGTAACTTAGTTTTCTTGGGGAAATTTTGTTCCAATAGGTTGAAAAATATTTTACCAATTTTAGTTTGTTGCAGGCCCGGTAGGGTGCAGTGCTGGTTTATTACTAAGTGGCCTTGTGCCAGACACCACACTAAACTACCGAGTCTACAAGCAAAGTAAAAAAAATAAAAATATGCGTGAATGAACAACGAAGAAATGTGGGTAATCCACACGTGCATAAAATAAAATATATTAAGATAGACGACACAGAATGACAAAAAAAAAAAAGACTGGATTCCAACAAGAGTAATTTTTATTAAATGCAGGAAAAACAAGTAAATCATCCCGTAGTCGGGATCAATGAAAAAGTTCCGCGCCAAAAGTAGAAAACAAGATGGCTAAAGGCGGGAAGGTTCTTGAAGAAGAAAGGTTCCAGCTAAGTCAATGTACATGACAATATTCATACAAGGAAAAAATACTCACTGCGAGTTTTTAGGTAATGGAGTGAATGTTATGTACATATTTCCCCTTTTTTTTTTTTTTTGTACTGGTTCAAAACAGATTTATGACGAGACCCAAAGTGGACGACGAATTAATATTTTGTATGCTCTGCATCGTCTCGGAAAAAGGACTTTGAATGACGAGTCACAAAGGGCCGAAAAGTTAATTATTTGGTATATACATCATCTCGTAGAAGGACTTTGAATGACGAGTCAAAAGGACGAGGAATTAATACTTGGGATGCTTTGCATCATCTCGGAGAAGGACTTTGAATGACGAGCCAAAAGTGACGAGGAATTAATTATCTGGTATTTGCATTGTGAGATATCCCTCGTCTGCCAACCTTGCATATTGCCATGGCTAAAAATGAGTCTGCTTAGGTCCGAGTCTGGATCACCTTTTGAAACAACAGTTTGTCGTTGACGTCACAAATTTTCGCGGGAAGATTTCAAAAATCTAATTTGCATAGCAGGTCGTTTGACTGTCGACCAAAAACAGTTACTACTGTATTAGACCGAACGAGGGAGAAGGGGGTGTCAAACGCGGGCGCGCGCCCGCGCGAGTGTGAAAGAAAGGAGGAAACTCGCGCGCGCGTAAAATGTCGTAAATGGAATAATACATTATTCCACACAGCCCTCCTCCTGGATCAAATGTCGCAGACATTTGACTAATAATAGTAGAATGTTTCAAATTTCTTTGGAAAGGTGACTTTTTCGACCGGAGCTGGTATACTTAGGCTTGTCGAGAGAAACAGGTGTCTTGAAATTCTCCTGAACTTGCGGAGTTGATTGGGAAGTAGTATGAGACGACGGTTTCTCTATAAAGGCAGGTTTCAACTGATCTATTGAAACGTTGTCGGTGTGAATACCTTTTTGTATTTGGAAATATTTGTCCGCGCGTTTAAGAACGCGGTATGGGCCTGTGTAGGCCGGCGTAAGAGGCCGCTTAACAGAGTCGTTACGTACAAATACAAACTCGCAGTCCTTGAGCTGGTGCGGTAAATAGATATCACTCGGGCAGTGCCGCGGTGGTGTATAGCATAAGTTTGCCATTTTAAGGCGTAAGTCCTGAATAAAAGAGGAAGAAACTGGTGGTGTGGTCACAGCTGGTGAAAAATATTGGCCAGGTAAAGATAACGAAGTACCAAATACAAGCTCTGCAGGGGAGCATTTCAAGTCATCCTTAAGAATATTTCTTAACGATAGAAGGATGAGGGGTAATTCATCGACCCAATTATTATTCTCATGCTTCGTTGATAGCGAAGCCTTAAGGGTGCGATGGAATCGTTCCACCAGCCCATTAGCACAGGGGTGATACGCTGTAGTACGTATATGCTTTGCACCAAGGAGTTCAGTGAATTCCCTGAAAAGACACGACTGGAACTGTGCTCCTCTATCTGTAGTAACCACTTTAGGAGTCCCAAAAATCGAAATCCAATCGCGTAAAATAGCTTTTGCGACAGTCACCGCAGTGGTATCTTTGACAGGGATGGCAGTAGGCCATCGGGAAAAACGATCCACTATAGTTAGAAGGTAGGAATAACCATGGCAGGTTGGTAGGGGCCCAACTAAGTCCAGGTGTATATTAGTAAAAACGAGCATCAGGCTCGCTGAAAGTGCCCATAGGAGATTTTTGTGTGTCTATGCACCTTACACTTCTGACATTGTAAACATGTATTGACCCATTCGCGAATGTGAACGTTCATATTCGGCCAAACGAAACGGTCCGAAATTAACTTAACTGTGGCTCTTTTGCTAGGGTGTGAGAGTCCGTGTAGGTGGTCAAAAACCTGTCTACGAAGAGACGGAGGAACATAAGGTCTCGGGGATTTGGATTTTACATCACAGTATAGGACCTTGTTACTAAAAGGAGCTGGACATTTCTGAAGTTCCAAAGAAGTGTCGGATAACACATGCTTCAGAGTTATGTCCGCTTTTTGTTCGTCGGCGATCAAGTCTTGACTGAGTGCATCAGTATGCACGCCGAACATCTCAGTACGAGATAGGGTATCGGCAACAGTGTTATCCGAACCCTTAATGTACCTAATATCAGTAGTAAATTGAGATATATAGTCCAGATATCTGGTTTCCCTCGAAGTGTATTTGTCCGAATTGGTGGACATAATGGACGTTAAAGGTTTGTGGTCCGTAAAGATAACGAAGGACCTACCTTCGAGGAGGTGTCTGAAATGCTTAATAGCACGAAAAATAGCCAACAGTTCACGAGAAAAGGTACTGTAGCGTGACTGGGCAGGAGAAAGTTTAGCGGAAAAGAACGCTATGGGTTTACGTTGAGAAGGACTGACTTGTTCAATGACCGCGCCTATTGCTGTTTCGCTAGCGTCAGTGGTCAGGTAGATATCCGATTGAGGGTCGTCCTCAAGAAAATGAGCTTAGAAAAAATTGCCTAGAGCGGTTTTAGCTACTCGAAAGGCGTCCAAGGCTTCATTCTCAAGTATAATAGTTTTATTCTTCTTCTGTAATAAGTTGGTAAGGGGAGTCAGAATGTTAGAACAGTTCGGAATGAATCTCCGATAGAAGTTGATCATCCCTATAAAGCGTCTCAACTGTTTAATGGAAACAGGGACGGGAAACTCAGTGATAGCTTTAATCTTTTCAGTTATAGGGGCAATTCCATTTGCATCGACATGATGTCCTAAAAATTCTATATGGTCTGATCCGAAAACACATTTGTCCAGGTTTAGACGAAATCCGTAATGGGACAAACGTTGAAGAACTTCGTGTAGGTGTTGCTTATGCAAGGCAGCGTCCTCGCTAGCTATCAGAATGTCGTCAATGTAATCGAAAACAAAAGGGAGTCCACGCAGAACCTCGTCCATAAGACGCTGAAAGGTCTGTGCTGCGTTGCAAAGGCCGAAAGGCATTTTCAAAAATTCAAATAAACCGAAAGGTGTAGTAACAGCAGTTTTTGGGACATCAGCAGCAGCTACTGGCACCTGATAATATGCTTTTGCGAGATCTATTTTGGTAAAAATCTTTGCGCCTTGTAAACCAGAAGCGAAATCGTGGAGATGGGGAATTGGATAACGATCCCGGACGGTGATGGAATTCAACCTTCTATAATCCACACAAATTCTATAGTCTTCCTTTCCTGGTTTAGGTACCAAATGAAGAGGGGAAGCGTAGGGACTGTCGGACGGACGAATAACACCCTCTCGTAGCATGTCGTCGAAAGCTTTCTTTGCGAATTTTAATTTGTTAGGTGCTAGACGACGAGGACGGGAAAAAACAGGTTGACCAGTGGTCTTAATAAAGTGCTGTGTTTGATGTTTAGTTGAATCAATAGATCCAGCAGGACGCAGGAGGTCCTGGTACTGATTCAATAAGTCTAAGTATTCTTTATTGTGGCAAGTTGCCACGGTGATGCCAGTGGTGGTAAGTTTAGAGTAAGTGCCAAGAACACACAGTCTTGTTAAGTTGTCTGTTAGGGAATGATTGTTCATTCGAACGGCTAGATCATAGTGCGCCAGGAAATCGGCACCTAATATCGGCATCTGGACGTCAGCAACAGAAAAATTCCAGGTAAAGTCTCGTCGCATTCCTATGTTTAGGGTAAGGGACTTCGTACCGTAAGTATTAATACTGGAACCATTTGCTGCTTGTAGGCGGAGCTGGAAAGGTTGTTGACGTGCTTTATCACGCATGGGTAAGACACTAATGGCAACCAAAAAACGTAAATTATTACGTGTATCCGTCACATAGAAAAGGCGACTAAGTTTTGGTGAAAATGCCTTGCCAGCGAGATTAGTCGCTTTCACTCGCTGGCGGTTTTGTTTTCCGCGACCGCAGTATAGGAACACGGCTTGGTGCAGTAGTGTGCTGCAGACCCAAATCGTCGGTGGTAGTAACACATAGTAGAAGTGGCATCCTTGTTCCGACTGGACGAGCGAGGTCGACTTCTGAAGCGCCGGCGGGAGGGGAGCCGGCTTCGACCATGGCTTTCTATAGCTAACGTTAAATCTCTAACTTGGCGTTGCAAATCCTCCATTGTTTTTTCCAAGGACCTGTGGTCCCCAGTCGCTTCAGCACTGTGTACTGGCGTTGTCCGATGATCCAGTTGCGAGAAAATACGGTCAGCGGCGTCCGCTAACTGGTCGATCGGGGTGTTTTCGGACATGGGCGCCAAAATTTGTGTAATGGTGGTGAGGAGACGGTCCAGCCACAAGCTCTTCAATATAGAGTCAGCCATGGTATTTTTGCCGAGTCGGCTTTTCATATAACGAAGGAGTTGGGAGGGAGTCCTGCCATCGCAAGTTAGGTTGCTAAATAGTTCCCGGATTAATGATTTCTCCGTACGGCCCATTCTCCGTAAAATCGCTTCTTTTAACCGGGCGTAGGGTTCTACTTCAGGAACGGCTTCTAGGAAGACTGCTACTTCGTCGACAATGGCGGGTGGCAAAACCGCCACCACGTGGCCAAACTTTGTTTTTTTGGTCTGTAATCCTTCTGACTGTAAAGATAGCTTCCATTTGTAGGAACCAGTTCTTTATATTCCCTTCATGAAATGGGGGAAAAGGAGTGACGGCGGCGGCCATGTTCGCCAACTCTTCAGAGTCATTAGACGTCATTCTGGCTATCGAATTTATGCACGTTTATATTTCAGCTTGCTCAGAATTATGTTGGCAAGGTTGCAAAATTATTGCGTGTTCAATTCACGTCTCAGGTCATGCAAACTTGTTGCAGGCCCGGTAGGGTGCAGTGCTGGTTTATTACTAAGTGGCCTTGTGCCAGACACCACACTAAACTACCGAGTCTACAAGCAAAGTAAAAAAATAAAAATATGCGTGAATGAACAACGAAGAAATGTGGGTAATCCACACGTGCATAAAATAAAATATATTAAGATAGACGACACAGAATGACAAAAAAAAAAAGACTGGATTCCAACAAGAGTAATTTTTATTAAATGCAGGAAAAACAAGTAAATCATCCCGTAGTCGGGATCAATGAAAAAGTTCCGCGCCAAAAGTAGAAAACAAGATGGCTAAAGGCGGGAAGGTTCTTGAAGAAGAAAGGTTCCAGCTAAGTCAATGTACATGATAATATTCATACAAGGAAAAAATACTCACTGCGAGTTTTTAGGTAATGTGAATGAATGTTATGTACATATTTCCCCCTTTTTTTTTTGTACTGGTTCAAAACAGATTTATGACGAGACCCAAAGTGGACGACGAATTAATATTTTGTATGCTCTGCATCGTCTCGGAAAAGGACTTTGAATGACGAGTCACAAAGGGCCGAAAAGTTAATTATTTGGTATATGCATCATCTCGTAGAAGGACTTTGAATGACGAGTCAAAAGGGACGAGGAATTAATACTTGGGATGCTTTGCATCATCTCGGAGAAGGACTTTGAATGACGAGCCAAAAGTGACGAGGAATTAATTATCTGGTATTTGCATTGTAAGATATCCCTCGTCTGCCAACCTTGCATATTGCCATGGCTAAAAATGAGTCTGCTTAGGTCCGAGTCTGGATCACCTACTGACTTTTTTGAAACAACAGTTTGTCGTTGACGTCACAAATTTTTCGCGGGAAGATTTCAAAAATCTAATTTGCATAGCAGGTCGTTTGACTGTCGACCAAAAACAGTTACTACTGTATTAGACCGAACGAGGGAGAAAGGGGTGTCAAACGCGCGCGCGCGCCCGCGAGTGTGAAAGAAAGGGAGGAAACTCGCGCGCGCGTAAAATGTCGTAAATGGAATAATACATTATTCCACAAGTTCTTACAGATAAGTTAAACGGAAGGTTAAACTACAAAATATTTCTATTTCTATTCTGATGTTTATATTGGGTTAATATTCATGTCAATATATTCTAACTTATCTTTGTGGACACTTTTAACTAGAGCTTTCTCATAAATTGATTTATTTGCATCAAAGATGTCTTTATTCGATGATTTGGTAGAAAGTCTATGGCTGATACTTTTTGAAATATGTCTTATGATATGCGCTGGGTGGTTAGATTTTACATTTAAATATTGGGGGTCCTGGTTATCTTTCTTATAAGGGGAAATAGTACCATTTCTTAAATCTAAAGTGATGTCTAGGTAATTGGTGACTTTAAGGTTGGTTTCAATTTCAAGATTGAATCCGAATTTTTTGAAGAGCCAGTGCAGCTTTTTCCAGATTGTGTCACATTTTCTGGGATTACTTTTATCCACTATGATTAATCCGCCATCACGGTATAACCAATGGTTGTTAAAATCTATATGATCGTTAAGCCTATTAAGCAGCAGGCATCCTACTAACTCGCACACCTCTGCTCCATCATATGCTCCCATGGGATTGTCAAAACTATTTCCGTCGTCTTTCTTTTATCCATAGTTCATTATTATGGAATAATAATGTTTTCCGGCAGTGTTTGATCAGGTCTATCTTATCATCAGAAATCTGAATATACTCTTTGGCTAATCGGAGCGCTTCGTTAAGAGGTTTTTTTTTTTTTTTTGACGGGTAGTATTCTTTAATATCGTATGTAATAAATGAACATCTAACATCTTTATTGTAATTCTTAAACCATCTAATGCAATCATTAGACGACTGCCATTGGTTTATATAAAGGAAAATCCTTAAAGACTCACATATTTCCTGTAAAATGACCTTACTTATTTTACTTAATTCTGTTTTTGTGGGATTTATTAGCCGACATTCAGGGTTTCTAAAGAAATTATTCATATGATCCTTTACAGTAATAAAGCAATTTTTCAAGCTCATTTTCTCAACACGATTACCTAAGTTAAATTTGTTAGCTAAAATCCTAGTTTCTTTATTAATTTTAGCTTCTATGTTATCCGGGGCTTTTTATAACATTTCATGACCTCTTTATGTAACATTTTATTATATTTATTAGGGCTCATTTTATACAGAAATCTAGATTTATCGGCTTTTACATACATGTTTTTATTATTCTTTATCTCTTTTATATATTTATTAATTTATTGCTGGATATTGTTTTATTACTTATTTTCCTATATTTTAATTTTTTTTATTAGACCGATTAGTTCTGATTCAAATTTATCGACTTCAATACATATTAGCTTCTTTTGATCATAAACATTCACGTGCAACATTAATAAACGTTTTGTTTGCTCAATTCTGGGAATTTTACTAAACCTTTCTAATAATTTGGCACGGTCAAATCACTATGCTGATAACAAATATGGCACCAGTTTGTTTCCATTGCGCAGATCAGTACAAAAATTCCAGTGACTGCGCAGATCAGTGTTGCCAACATTGGGTGAAAATTTTGTGTGAATTGATTGGACGGTTTTAGAAATATTAGAAAAAAAAGTCATCTCGTTAATAATTTGTCACGGGTATATATATATATATATATATATATATATATATATATATATATATATATATATATATATATGTATATATATATATATATATATATATATATATATATATATATATATATATATATATATATATATATATATATATATATATATACATATATATATATATATATATATATATATATATATATATATATATATATATATATATATATATATATATATATATATATATATATATATATATATATATATATATATATATATATATATATATATATATATATATATATATATATATATATATATATACATATATATATATATATATATATATATATTATATATATACATATATATTTATATATATACATATATATGGATATATATATATATATATATATATATATATTTATATATATACATATATATGGATATATATATGTATATATATACATATGTTTATATATGTATATATATATACATATATATTTATATATATATATATATATATATATACATATATATATATATACATATATATATCTATATATATATATAAATACATACATACATATATTTATATATATATATTTGGGGCACCTCCTGGTGGTGCAATGGCTAGCAAGTTTGTCTCGCTAGAATAATTACGACTGAGTAGTGAGTTCGATCCTCACTAGGTGCCCCATACTTTGGGCCTTGTGCCACATCTAAGCTACGCTTGGGAAAATAACTATATATATTTATATATATATATATATTTATATATAAATATATATATATATGAATATACATATATGTATGTTTATATATATATATATATTTGAAGAAAAATATACGGAAAAACAAACAAAAATCCTAATATGCAATTATGCTGTTTTAATGTTAATATAATGTCAACGTCGGACGTTTCGGTCTTGTCGACACTCTTCAGGACATATTTATAAAACATAATTAACATTAGACTATATTTAATTCAACATGAAAAGACGATGGACATAAGAGTAAGACTAATCAAAACAGATAACTGAAATTTTTCAAGATCAGCGTTCCGTTTCAATATGATCACGTCGGTGTCACGTGGGCGATGGTGTGAAACGTATTCCTAAAATAGAGTATTTTGAATGAAAAAGGAAAAGAATTTTATTTTAATCTAAAACTTATATGTACGTTTGTCGAGCATTAATCTTGCTAAAAAAGGGGAAATATTAAAGAAGCCGGGTCTAGTATTCACCGTGCGTGAGATAGATATTATGCTTGCCTCATAAATACGTCTAAGATTTTTATTATGAATATATTTTAAAATCTTCACAGAATCAAAATCGAAATTATGATTAGATTTAGTTGTGTGTACAAATAAAGCATTGTTTAAATTACCGAGGCGAATATTAAAACAGCATAATTGCATATTAGGATTTTTGTTTGTTTTTCCGTATATTTTTCTTTACATGTATATATATATATATATATATATATATATATATATATATATATATATATATGATTATAAATATCTATATAGATAAATATATGATAAATTTACTAATTTAATAACATGGTTCCATCGCTACACAGCAATTACCATATTTCAAAAACAGAAACTAAAAACTTCACCTTCAATTATAGGACTAAATTAAATTTCCTAGTCCTGTTCCATTTTCAAGTGAATTTGAAAAAAATTATTCCAGAATTCGCTTGAAATTGAAACAGGACTAGGGACTTTAAATTAATTCTATAACTGAATTTGAAGTTTTTAGTTTCTGTTTTTGAAACATGGCAATAGCTGTGTAGCGATGGAACCATGTTATTAAATTAGTAAATTTATCATATATTTATCTATATAGATATTTATAATCAGATGTATATATATTTATATATATATATATATTTATGTATATATACATATTTATGCATATATATATATATATACATATTTACATATATATGTATATTTATATATGACATATATATATATATGCATATATATATTTA